CCCCACACCCCTCTTGCAATTTTTCTGAGGCGTGCCTGAAATGTAATTTCCTGATGTTGACAAACGTTTTTTTTAGCCTCGTGGATTTTTCTTTAGCTGTAGAGTTTTTTTCAGCTGCTATGGGTGAGTGATTATCTACCTTGATCCTGGTTACGACAGATTATCACTATAATGTATTCAGGAAGAGATTCTGTAGACTGATAGGTTTCAGCCTCCTGGTGAGTCGGTGGAACAACTATGTTGCAACCCCTCGTTTCGCCCCCCCCCCCCTCTCTTTCTATGACTACGCTTTACCAGGCAGATCTTTTTGTGACGATTTTTTATTATTATATATAGATATCACCCCGCTCCCTCTCTGACTACGTTTTTTAACCGAACAGATCTACCAAGTATACGACAGATCAGCGTACGCTCTCCCTATATATCTCTTTTCCAGCACTCAATATACCAGCTAAGTATCACTCCGTCGCCCTCTCGCTCCCCTTGCACACTCCCCTCACACACAACCTCGGCATCAGTTCTCCCTAACCACATCCCTGCCTATGCTATGACTAAAATCTATACCACTCCACCAAAAATACCCCCCGCACACATTCACACACACCTGCCCGCCCCCCTCCCCCCGATCCCGCATCCCCAACACTAGTCTGCACATGTTTTGCCAAACCGCACTCCTTTCCCAATAGTCGTATCAAAATGTCCAATACTGCTTACACAAAGGACACATGTTTACCCATGCTATCGTTGTCTTCCCTGCCCCCCTCCCCTTACCTCCCACCTCCGATGCTACTGAGATCTGATACTCACATCCTACTATCTTTAATCACCCATGCTCGCCCTTTCTCCTTCCCCACACCATTCTTACATACTTTCCGCAGCATAAAATTCTCGCTATGGCAGACTTCTCTTAGTCTCGTGGATATCTTTGTTGGCTTATGATAAAGCGGGTACCGATAAGTTGTAAGAGTTTTTTTCATCTATGGCGGCGCGTGATTGTCCAGCTTGATCTTGATCAGGAAGAGATTCTACAGACTGTTAGGACTCAGCCTCCTGGTAAGTCGTTGGAACTCCGACAAAACAATTATGTTACAACCCCTCGCTTCTTATCTTTTTTGTTCTCCGACTACGTTTTACCAGGCAGATCCTTTGTGACAAAATATATATAGCCCCGCTCCCTCTCTGACTACGGTTTTTACCGGGCATACATATTTATATCTCCCCGCTCTCCCTCTCTCGCTCCTCTATACACCCCTTTTGCACACCCCGCAATCCTCTCCATATACCTTCTAAGGCATCAAACCCCCACCTTCTAAGGCATCAAACCCCTCCCCTACACACACAAAAAAA